GGCCTATCATTAGGACTTAGGGAGACTCCCTCTCATTAGGCCCATAATGCATCAATGTGGATAAATTTTCGACGGCCTGTAAAACTTACATCGAAGATTACATGGTTCACATGCATAAATTGATCACACAATCCAAACAAATATAAATCACTTACGACATAGGTATTTAAATAAACCCATCTGGAAACAGTAGGAGGATAATAGCATGAATCTGTTGGTAAGGTGAGAGCAAGACTCGTCAAATACCTACATTATATCAAGATAGACCTATCAACATGTTATCCTGACACTTAGAATAATTCACGAAAATTCATACTTAGTCGAACATCATTTTATATGAATTTATAAAGAAACAACCCATAAATCAAAATCGACATTTCACATTGTTAACATGGGAGTTTTGCCTTTAAAATTTTACCACAGAGACATCATCAATAGAGAGTTCAATCATAAAAATTTCACATCATTTGAGAATTTGATTTTTTAACAAATTTGCAAAAGTTCAGCAGCATGCTCGATTTTAAAAATTCATAACTCACAATATACACACATCAAAATGGCCCAAGGTCTTCACCATTAGACCAAGGACGATACAAAGTTCCATATATATTCCAGGGTTTCCACGAAAAATGCGCGAATCCTTCGATCCCATCAATATATCGAAAGTATCTCCACATTTGATCACATAAATCAATCATATAACTCATCAATTCGCACATAAACTTCAGGAACAACAAATAAATCATCAAAAATCAATCAAAAGGATTAGGGTTAGCCACCCATTATTGTACTCCAAGAGGGAGATGCGAAACAAGACGGCAAGGGGGCGCGTGCGGGTCGCTCGGCGGTTGCACTCGGCTCGCGTGGGACTCGGGTGGTCTCCGACAATCGAAGGCCGTTGATCATGGCGGAGGGTTGGCGCTTGCTGGTAAGGACTGGATCAAAGAAGGGCTGGGGATCGAGGATGAAGGCAGGCGGGGAGTCGTTATTCCCCAGTGGTTGCGCGGTGAAGGCTTCGGCGTGCAGTGATGGTCGAGAAGAGGCCAAAGGATGGTGGCGCTCGAACTTCGAAGGTTTGGGGGAGGAGATTTTTGATTTTGATCATGAAGGAGGAGAGGAGGGAGTGGCGTGAATAAAAGAAAAGAGAGAAGGGAGTGTTGGATACATATTTATAGCTTGGGAAAAATAAACCTACCATACAAGGCACAAGAGAGAGAGGGGCGCGCCTAGGGCTCGGGCCGATTATTTATCGCGGTTTCGGGCCAAAGGCCACTCAAAAGGGTCGGGATAAAAATTGTTTAAGTCCCGGTTCGATCGGTGGCAAAAATAATTAAAAACGGATATAAATTCGGTTTATCTAGTTAAACCAGAATCGACGAACTACGATAAAATAAAATAGAACGAACTAATTATATCATATTATTCGATCAATAAGATAATATAAGTAATTAATCGAGACATAAAATAATATCAATAATATAATATAAGTAATTAATCGAGACATAAAATAATAATTCTAATTAAATAAATATCTGAAAAATCTATTATTCAAACGGATTAAATTCAGTTTACGCGATTAAACCGATATCACCGAAAGACGAACGTTTTAGAAATAAAACGATCAAGTACTTAAATATAATTTAAGTACCAATCATAGACGACCTCACCACCACTATTAAAAAAATAATCAATAAATAAATCCAACAAATATGAATAATCTGATAAATTTTATAAATCGAATGGGGCGCTACACTCGTTATAGGAGAGTAAATACCTTGTTTAGGACTTATTACTTCGCTTTTTTTGCACTTCTTGCTTCTGATGTTCATCAAAGTTAAGTTGGTGCCTTGACCGGAATAATGTGTTTAGACTTGGTTTTAAGATCTTTTTTCTTTTTTGTTTAAGTGAATTAGGTGTTGAATTCGTGCTTATCTTATATTAGTTCGTGCAAAGCTTGATCATTTAGGTAGAAGGCTCGAGTTAACGACCTAGAATTTTATTGCTAGCATGTTTCTCTTTGTTATATTTTTATTTTTATCGCGTCAAGGAGATTCCAGATGACCAAAGTTCCAATCTTTCCTATAAAGCTTGCATCTTTATTCCATTGCTTTCAAGTTCTAGTCTAAATTAGCTTAATTTCAAATGAATCATCATGCTTAGTATGTTTAGAACCTTTTTTTTTTCTCTTTTTGTGCTTTCGACAACTAATACGTGTACGAAGGTCCAAATCATCTTCCTTCGAGATGACGACCCGAGGTGATCTTTCGATTGTACTCGGCTAAAAATAACTGAACAGTTACCGAATGAATAAGAAATCACTGTGATTTGTTATTAATGTTGATATAAATAAGATCCTATTGTAATATAAAATTTTTATAATTGATTTTAGTTTTTATTTTGTAATTATATTTACAATTTAATTTATCATGCATATTCAAATAATATTTTCTAAGTAGAATATATTTAATAGATATTTTTTAAGAATTGTTGTATGGTTGTTACCAAAACAATAAGAAATTGCAGTGATTCATAATTAATATTAAGAATTGAATTTTTATTGCGATAATTATCACAAAATAATTTTCAAAATCAATGACACTTTATTATATAGAAAGTAACGGAATTGCACGATTTTTGTAAGGTATGTATAATTTAATTTTTATTTTTTATAAATATTATAGTAATTTTTACTGTATTTCTTTTAATAGAAAATCAACTTATTTAATTACAAAGTCAAAGTTACTAATTTAAATTATTCCATCAATAGATAGATATGAAAAATAGTATTTTAACTCTATTGTTTTTTATTTGTAAATAATTCATTATTCCTTCAAAAAATGAAGTTCCTAGAAACTTGCATAATCGATTAATCGTGGGAAAAGCAAAAAATCAATATCTTAAGAATTATTGTTGAACGATGAACAACTATGTGTTTTTTTTCTTTTTTTTTTTTTGGCAGGTGACTAAAAGGAAATTATTATAATATATAAAAAGACGTATAGACAAAGGATATTCATGTTGAATAAAGCTAGTCACGCGTAATGGTTCATTTTGATGATCAATTTGTAATGGAAGTACAATTTGTCTATGGTAGAATAAAAATACGTTAGAGACGCATAATATATCGATTGACTTCGTTAAATTGGAAGATAACCAAGCATATTAACAAACCATGAGAATCGAGATTCAAAACTCTAAATCATTGGGAAAATTAAACTTAGACATCTTAGTGAAACACATGAAAAATATATGTTCATTCCTAGAATGTATGAGAAAATTTTAAATAAATAAATATATATATATATATATATATATATATATATATTTATATATATATATGTGTGTGTGTGTGAGAGAGAGAGAGAGAGAGGTAAGAATCGTTTCTATATAATAACACTTGAATCTTAATTATTGAGTCTTATTTAATTGCAAATAATATTATAATATAGTTGTACATATGATGGATTGATTTGTGATAAAATTCTAGTAGTACAAATGTGTATGGTTTGATGTTGTGTAAAAACAGAAAGCGTATGATCAGTGGCGCCATAACATAGTTGCCTTATTATAGAGACTACACTATTCTTTATTCTCGTATCTATCTATACTAGTTGGCCGGCGGCTGTGAACGCACAGCCGACCCTAGTTCAGCCTATAATTATCTCAAATATTTGGAAGATTTAAATACACACATACCTACCTGATGCATCTAAAAATGTTATGAAAATGGATAATATATTTGTTGTTATAATCACTGCTCTGATGATATAGTTCAAACAACAGACAGAAGCAAAGTAAATTCTGCATCACTTTCATACTGAGTTCCAAACACCAAAAAAAAAAAAAAAATGAGAAAAGGAAGGCACCAATCAATCTTTCATTTGTTGTAAAGCATTTGACCACTTTGTATGAAAAACATAAAATAAAAATAAAATATGATCCGCACAGCTAATTGAATACACAACCACAACCTAGCATATAACAGGAAAGATCAAACTTCCTCTAATTCCAATCACAGGTCTACAAACATTTACAAAACGCAAAATTCAACAAACAAAAAACTATATGGAAAACAAATAAAAGCAATGAATCAGGTCGTCTTTATAAGAGCCGAGCTCAACAGTCATCTCTAAGGTTGGTTGTTTAGACAGTTAAAGAAATGAACAAATAGCGGACTCAAAAGTACCAAACTCGAAAGCAGTAAAATACATCATCACATCCAAGCAAGCACGTATCTCTACATATAAACAAAGGTGAGCACTTAAAATGACCCCAAGAAACACCATAAAACAAGACCAGATAAAAGAAAAGTAACTAAATAGTTAATAAAATGATAATCAAATGACCATGTACTACATAATAGAGAATCTGATGCAAAATATTATTCTATACATTCACAAGAAAAAGCAAACATCTGGTAATTTGTAAGTCTATAGTTCACAAGCATACATAAATCTAACTTTGCTAGACAAAAACAACAGAGTTAAATATATATATTCTAAAAAAATATTAAAGCACAAAAACCACCATAGAACTGATACTTTTGTTTTCACCCTTTAAAGTGTCAAAAGGTGACAAAGGCAAGAAAGATGCCTGGCCTCATGACGGTATCCTAAAATTTCTTGCAGAGTACAAAACCAGAATAATGCACTATCAAGCTGCCATATTACAAACGATACCAACATAACCATGCATCAATCTAGATCTTCACTTTTTTTTTTCCCACATCACAATTCAAGAACATATTGTTTTGTATCCCATTATGCTTCTCGACGTAGGATCATTCCACATAAGCAACAACATTCTCATTCTTTCCTGCGAATTTTATTCCAAAAGCTCGCCCAATGAATGATCAGACACAAAAAATATCATCCCTAACAAGCCTAACTTTATGCCACACAGACCACCCCTGATATAAATCAACCGACGTGCGTGTCGTATCGTGTCAAATATATCATGCTAGCACTTCCCGTGAATCTAATGCATCCGTTTGTCGAGCTTTAGGTTCGAGAAGAAATTATCTCCTATATTTGTAAAGTACCAAACAACATCAAGTAACTAAAAATATGTACAAAGCGATATATGATATAAAAAAATCTAATGATATATAGTTGGAAGTAAACTAAAATTACTGTAGGACATGTTCATCAGGTGAACCAAATGAAAGACGTGAAAAAGGGTAGGCATTGCTCCAGCCTCATTTTCAAGGCTACAAAAATGAGATAAAACACTTGCACCAGGAAGAAATACCAAGACTTAAAGAAGTATTTAATACACAAGAACATAATTATGCATCCAACTTTTAATATATTCGAAGCTTAAAACCCTTTCCAAGGACATAAAACAAACTTTCCCATTACGTGCATAAGAACATCCTCGTTTGTAAACTCGAGCAACCTTCGTCAAACTAAAAGATCTTTGCACATACTTTGACTTCGGTTAGTTTACTTTTCATGTTTCTTCAAGTTTCTACATACAACCAGAACATCCAAGGACCTTACTAAAACAAACAAACATATCTATCAAATAAATTAAATGGAACAAGATAATGTTGTAATGATATCCTGTTCAAAAAGAGTGGATATACAAACTAATTCAGGCTGTATTGAAACAAAACAACCTCCACCTAAACATAAATAAAATTTTAATAACTCACTTAATTCAACAACCTTCAAAGTAGACTTAAAAAAGGCAAAAGCACCTAATCATCATACCATAGATTGCATAAGCGTCAGTCCTATTATTTCAGCTGTCACCACCTTAAGTGTCTCCTTTACCCACAGCCTGTTGCAAATTTGTACCTACATAAATTAATACAATACACCAACCAAAAACAAGAAATGGGGAACAAAAAAATCACACGCTTACATACACAAGAAACCCAAGCAGAGCTAATTCAGCACTAATAAACTCAGTATGAATTACTAATTAAGTAAGCATATTTAATAACCCTCGTGAAAAAAAAAAAAACTAAAAACAAACAATTGAAATTACGATTGACGGACAATTGTTAACATTGTAAATACCTTCAGAAGTAGCAACATGGAATACCAATTAACTCGCGATAAAAATCAAGTCACATGACAAAACGAAACAGACTAATGAAAGCACAAATTTTTAACAAAAGGATATAACGCATGAGAAGTTTGTAATACTCAAAAATACAAAAAAAAAAAAGAAAAAGCTACCTTCCATAATTACATATGCCCTGTGATATTTGTTAATATTGTACCTTCAATTGGTATGCATTTGTACGGAGATATAGAAATTTCAATAGAGTTTTGGTAATTTGTATTCTTGAAAAATTTGAATTTTCTTCAACACTTAAGCCAAATCTCTAGGATAATCTAGCAACTATATTACACAAAGAGAGAAAACAAACCTTCACATAGTCCCGTGCCTGCACTGCTGATCAAAGTTGAGTTTTGAGGCCACGGCCTTTTTCTCCGACTTGACGGGATTCCCAATAACTACCTAGCTTTTAGTGAAGCTACTGAAAAAGCAGGAGAAGGAAATAGTGTGAGATGAAAATACGTACGTAGATGGAAAGATATCAATAACCCGTGACGATTGAAAAGATGAAATGAAAATATGAGACTAATAGTTAAAAATAACAACGTCAAACACCGAATAAGATAAAAGCCAACAATTGAGGGAGCAATAAATTCAAGATAAATGTGACTTAGTTCTTATGCACCCCTTTTGTTTACTTAGGTTCATCGGCATAAATAAATTTACCGAACAGACATGCAAAGAACGGATAACTTGCACCGGGTTTCAAAACCCAAACCATCTCCTCAATAGCCTTTTTCCTATCCACCACTTTTCTCAACCAATAGCTGATGGTGGCAGCATCACAACCAGAGTCGGGGAACGGTAAAGTAACTGCATCTTTATGAGTCAACCTACAAATTAACAGTTTTGATCAAATCTCATCATGTCCTCGTGAAGGATGCTAATTACATAATTAAAATAGAGAGAAAATTCAGTTACAAATAAGATTATTAAAATATCATACTCATGCTTTTGTAGAACAGTTTAGACTTGGACCACGCACGCTGGCGAGATGACGTACCTCTAATAGCTCATTTGAGAAATCCAGAGCAGTGACCTACAAAGATGCAGCCCCAAGAAAAAAGTTGAAATGAAAATAATAATAGAAAAATAATGTTCATTTGAAGACGAATACTAATTGAATGCCAAATGATGTAAGCCTTCAAACCTTGCCATTGATTCCGACTTTGAGGGACAACAGAAACTCAAATACCCACTGCTACAACACACGTCCAGCACCTAGTCATCATTACCAAGTTTTCTCAGTAACCTCCTTGGATAAAAGCATTCAGGCGGTCCAACCCATCAGGATGCTCACTCACCACAGCACGCACCACGTCACCAAAAGACAACATCCCTATCATCCCCCATTCGTTTATGACAGGAATTTGCCTGATTCGGTTATCTGCGGATTTGGAAGTTAGCAAGAACCATTAAAAGCTTGCATAAATATTATTCTTAGAATCATGAAAAGAAAGAAAAAAAAATAATGGCCGTCATAAGCTGCATCGACTTCAGAGTTCAGCGTGACAGTAATAAGTTTGTACTACAACTAGCTCATCAATATTATATAGTTTAGAAACATATAAGCTAACAACAATATATTGAACAATGCAATCTACCATCTTAGGTCAATGGCATCATCAGCATGAGAATTGGAGCGTCGGATGGAATTTTTTGTTGGAAGAATCATAGAAGTCCACATAAAATTTTAAGTAATTAGGCTAAAACTCAGAGTTAGGTCTAATTTAACCAGCAATTTAACAACATAAAACTTGAGCGATGAAAAGATTTATACCTGAGCCACTGCACCTTGCCATAATCATCCAACTTATAGAACACCTTCTGGATGGTGTAGTCCGCAAGGGTGCGACCATCAGTATAGTAGCTCGACCGCGAGCTGGGGCTCACGGATAGGGTCAGTGGCTGGGGACCCCACCCCCAATTTGTGTCTCGTACTTGATGAACATGAAGCTCAGAGCTTTGCTTTTGTCAAACCCCTTCATTTGCGTGACATGTAGACAGATAAAATTACAAAGAATTAAAAGGTTATATTAGTAAAAGTGATATTAAAATACCTAAGTTAGCTAAATAATATTTATGGAATACCCGAACCTAGATTATTAATTATTAATATATTAATATTATTTGTCCAAACCTAATTACGAAGCATGATTCTTCGCCAAATATGATTCCGAAGCACCAGAAGCAGCCACGTAGGCTCAACGCATTCGGGAATTATATATAGGGAGGATAGAGAGATATTAAAATTCTTATTTCGAAACTCTGCTTCTCTCGCCGGATATTTATCAACATAGTTTCTGCAGTTGCTAGGTTAGTTGTCTGATGCTGCTAGGTTAGTTGTCTAATTGTGCTAGGTTAGTTGTCTGATTGTGCTAGGTTAGTTGTTTGATTGTGCTAGGTTAGTGTCCGCATTTTAAGAGCTGGCCTCATTTTAAGAGCTGACCTCATTTGATCTGCCCCTATATATATATATATATATATATATATATATATATATATATATAGATAGATAGATAGATGTAGATTAGTTTAATATGTAACGTGCTGATGGTTGAAAATTTTGATCATATACTGATAATTCTTAAAATGATCAATGATAAATGGTAGAGATATATTGTGATGCAGAGAGGATAGTTTGTAGATGCATAATATTGTATACAATGAAAAATTTTGTACTAAAAAAATAATTCATTTTATTTTTCTATATTACTGAATTTAAACTTTATTTAATGCTTAACATAATCAAATTGGCCTTACTCATGCATGTGAATGGATTAAAAAAGAGTGTTAGTTTTTCTAATAAGGTGGTCGAACAATACAAATATATCTATATCTATATATTCTCTTCAAATGTTGTTGATTCCCCGCTTATTACTAAATTAATCAACAAACTATATATATCCAAGTAACGAAAACTATATTACTTTTAAAAATATTTTAACTTAATTAATTATTTGTAGAAACCTCTGGAAGTTTTAGAACATTAGGATGCCGGATCAAGAGGTGGTAAAAGCTGCTTGGAAGAACTGGGAGGAGTATATGCTTTGGTGACTGCTATAGGACACATCTAATCCATTAGTGTGAGGTACTAGGTCTCTTTGATTTCATTGGTACTCCTAGGCTATGTTGTTGTTCTTGTTGTAGTTTATGTATTTTGTTGTTATATTCATTGTATGTCTAAGAGGGTATTTGGTGTCATTGCTCTTAGATGTATATGTATTGGCTTTGGTGTTGTTGGACTAGTTCTCCCTGTTTGGATTGAGGCTAGTTAATCTCACGGAATGTACTTTGACTCGGTTTTTTGTTGTTGAATGAAGTTCTTATCCTGTAGGAAAAAAATCGTCTTAATACTATTAATATAATTAAATAATATCAATTAATCATCCTCACACAACGACTTACTTCAATTCACTATTCATCTACTCACATAATTTTAACTACTTATCACTTCCAATCACTCTCTCTACGTTTACATCAAATCAACTTTAATCATTTTATTTTAACTATTATATTAGAACAAACTCAAAATCTCCTTCAGACCTGACTCAACAAACTTTTTCAAAATTAACTTTGATTAACTAAAAAAAACCTTGTATACAAGCAACCCCTTAAGTTTTATTACTTTAATTTTTTACTTCACCTCTGGGAAAAAAAAAAAAAAATTCAAATCTGAAATTAAAATTTAACTTAATTAACAACTCAATTCCCATCAAATTATTTTGTTTACACGAGTTCCAAATTTTTTTTATTTCCTTTAACAGAAAACTTATTTTTTTGGCTTCATGATCGGAATCTTGACTTCATATAGAAAAAAGATAAGGCGTGATATAACACTATTGATTTCTTTGAATTCATCAACAGTATTCATATATATTTTAGAGCATCCAACAACTCAATTCCAAAAAAAAAAAAAGAAAAAAAAAATCCCTATAAACAAGCTTCAAAATTATTTGTCAATATTTGAGAGTTGGCTTCATGATTAAAATCTTGACTTCATATACGAAAAAGATAAGGCGTGATATAACACTACGGATTTTTTGGGATTCATCAACAATTTCATATATAAAAAATCACTTTCCAAAAAAATATTTTATATACACGAGTTTCAAAATTTTCATTCCTATTTAAATAACGACTTGTTTTTTCGCTATTCAAGAGTTGGCTTCATGATTGAAATCTTGACTTCATATACGAAAAATATAAGGCATGCTATACACTACTGACTTTTCTTGCGTGTTTGTTTTGGCATTTCTCACAATTAGACAAGTATGGCTTTTGAACACTTTTCGAAAGACAATTGCCAAAAAGAAAATGTGCATAAAGATCAAATAATAAGGCGCTAATTTTAGAATTGAAAACATTGAGCATTTACTACGTTCTTACATAAATTTACTAGGAAGCTATCTTTGTGCACAACACAGCCGACCCAATGCTGAGTGAATTCATTTTTTGTATTAATGTGGTTATAATATGTTTTCGTTCAATCGGAATTGAAGTTCAAACAAGTTTCAAAAATTATTTTTCGCTATTTGAGAGTTGACTTCATGATTGAAATCTTGACTTAATATATGAAAAAGATAAGGCGTGATATAGCACTACTGATTTTTTTGGGTATCATCAACAATTTCATAAATATTTTAGTGTATCTAACATCTCAATTCCCAAAAAATTGTTCCATATACACGAGTTTCAAAATTTTCATTCTTTTTTAAAAAATGATTTATTTTTTTTCGCTATTCGAGAGTTGGCTTCTATTGAAATCTTGACTTCATATACGTAAAATATAAGGCATAATATGACACTACTTTCAAAATTATTCTACGCTATTTGAGAGTTGGCTTCATGATTGGAATCTTGACTTCATATACGAAAAAGATAAGGCGTGATATAACACTATTGATTTTTTGGGATTCATCAACAATTTCATATATATTTCTAAATATATATTTTATTGTATCTAACAACTCAATTCCCAAAAAATTATTCTATATACACGAGTTTCAAAATTTTCATTCCTTTTTAACAGATGACTTATTTTTTTCGCTATTCGAGAGTTGGCTTCATGATTGAAATCTTGACTTCATATAAGGCATGATATAACACTACTTTCAAAATTATTTTTCGCTATTTGAGAGTTGGCTTCATGATTGGAATCTTGACTCTATATACGAAAAAGATAAGGTGTGATATAACACTACTGATTTTTTGGGATTCATCAACAATTTCATATATATTTTAGTGTATCTAACAACTCAATTCTCAAAAAATTATTCTCTATACACGAGTTTCAAAATTTTCATTCCTTTTTAACCGACGACTTATTTTTTTCGTTATTCGAGAGTTGGCTGCATGATTGAAATCTTGACTTCATGTACGAAAAATATAAGGCATGATATAACACTGTTGACTTTTCTTTCATATATATATTCTAGTGTTTGTTTTGGCATTTCTCACAATTAGGTAAGTTATGGCTTTTGAAATCTTTTCGAAAGACAATTGCCAAAAAGAAAATGTGCATAAAGATCAAATAATAAGGCGCTATTTCAGAATTGAACACATTGAGCATTTACTATGTTCTTATATAAATTTACTAGGAAGCTATCGTTGTGCACAACATAGCCGGCCCAATGCTGTGTTAATTCATTTCTTGTATTAATGGGTTATAATATGTTTTCGTTCAATCGGAATTGAAGTAAGTTCAAACATGCTTATAGTTTAAGAACACTCAGTACAAAAGATATTAAATATAGCAAAATTATTAGTCACATGCGAGTCCAAAGATGGTTATCATTGTTGATTACACAATATAGCAAAAGGATGAGTGGCCAGCATGATATGCCCCGGATAATATTTTGCAAACGGAATTTAGAACAACTATACATATCCATAGATGTTTGAAATTTTGTGGTACAAATAACAAAATATAAATGGCTAAGTCTATATGTAGCAGGCTTATAAATCCAAAAGCTAGTTACAACAGTCTTGCGCATTGAAAAGTGGCAGACATATTAGGTAAGGGTGCATGCTTATTGTGTTTTGTACTTATTTTCGTGTATTTTATGTTCCTTAGTCGAGTCTTTTTAGATTCGTTTTAGTGTCGACCGGTCCATTTTATTGTTCTTTGTGTATATTTACTTTCGGTTTGTGTTATTATGTTTTGCCATACTTTCTCTTTCATTTTGGTATTGATTAGGTCCATATTGAGAAAACTTGGGAAGACGTGCCATTTTCAAGTCGTTTTCGAGCCGCCCGAACCACCCGAACCGTTCTGAGCCACCCCGGGGGATTTTTAAGTTAAGACCCACGATCATGCTGTCAGGCCCAATTTGCGGCCCCAATGTGATTTTGCAACGCTGCGCGTAGGGCTGTAAACGAGCCAAGCCGAGTCGAGCATTGGCCTTATCGAGCAGGATTGACTTTTTTTTTTTAGTTGCTCGAGCTCGAGCTCGATTTTTTAGGCTCGAGCTCGACTCGATAAAAAATTTCAATAGCTCGAGCTCGGCTCGAGCTCGACTTGAAATCAAAATGCTCGAGCTTTGACTCGAGCGCTCGCGAGCAGCTCGGCTCGTTTGCAGCCCTAGCTGCGCGGCCCCAATGTGTTTTTGCGACGTTGCGCGTTCATGTAGAAATGTCAAGTCCACATTTCGTGACCCCAAGGCCATTTCGCAACGTTTCGCGTGCCTTTGCCAGGGCCAAGTACATGTTTGCGACCCCAATGCATTTTTCGCGACGTTGCGCATGTCTATGCCTATGTCAAGTCCACAATTCGCGGCCCGAACCTCATTTCGCAATGTTGCGCATTCTGTTTATTAAAAGTGTGTGTTTTTAGTGTGTGCTTGTTGTCTAGCTATAA